GTCCTCCAGCTCTACCCCATTTATTCATTCATTTGACAGTATTTATTGAGTATCTACCATGTGCCCGGCATTGTTCTAATAGCTAAGAATATAATACTGAACAATCTCCAATAGATCCTTCCTTTCATAAAACTCCAATTCTTATGGGGTAAACAGATTACAAACAAGCAAACAAAATGATTTTGGAGCGTAACACGGTCTATTAAAAAAGCAACATGAGGGTGGATGGGGCTAGCATACTTTGAGGTGTCAAGGTCACCAGTGAGGAGGTGGCTTTGAACTGAGACCTCTGCTTACGCCAGAATCTTGCAACAAAAAGGAGATAAGTTCTTTTTAAAAGAAGAATTTCCTATCCCACTCCATGTTAAAGGAGCGGGTTTTGTGACAAGAATAAACCTGGATAAAAATGTACTTCTGCAAGATAAACTTGAGTTGCCATATCACTCTTTCCCACCAAGTTCCCTGACTTTAGGAGGACCATAAAATTTTCCTTGGAAACTATTTTAACTGCTGGGAGAAAGTACCTACAACAGAGTCCAAATTTACAAGGTTTTACAATGCGTCACTTCAAAAGAGAAACTTTTGAAAATCCTGAGTTGGATGTGTGGCTGATGTTTTATTTCGCCATGGAGAAAGTTGCTCTTTTTTGTTCCTCCTCTTCCCTTGGTCACCCACGTTTTCAAAACAACCATTATGTGACTGGCAGCAGGGCTCTTCTCCCTGGTTGTACAGATAGGCTGTCCATGAAGTCCACAGCTGGCACCATGGCTCATTAGGCATTTTTTTCAAGGCAGTCATCTCGATTCTGACTGTTTTCAGACCATGGGTCTTTCCACTGTGGCTATTTCTTCCTCTCTCCTCTGATGTTTCACTCTCTCATTGCTTTAATATGTCTTCGGGGAGTTTCTTCTCTTCTTAGTGTATCTGGGAGAATATTTTTCTGGAATCCTTACTTAAAGAGAATTATGAACCACTGGGAAAGAGCTCTTCTGTTGATTAGGCTTTTTTTCTCCATTTGGGGGAAATCAAATGACTAAAATATAAATTTGGTTTGAACAGTTCTTAAATATCTTTTTTTTCCAACATTGACAGGAATTTTGCTTCTGCATTTTGATTTTGCACATTTAAAAAGTCAACCAGAAAGACTCTTAACAACTAAAAGTAGAAATTGCAAAAAGCACTCTAAATACAAACCAGCAAAAATGATGATGATAAAATGTCTTTTGCACGTCTGATCTGTAAACACATCTAATGGCTCACTCAGAGGATGATGATGTTATTATTGCAAGTAACATATTCTTGGAAAGTGAGTCCCAAATTCAATTTTTAACTGTCCCAAAGAATTTGGAAAGGTTGTCAAATATGGTTTTAAAAAATGCAACACTCTCGTAGACCTGCATTACAATTTGGAGAAAACAGAGAAAGACAGGGTAAGGTATTCATACTTTTACTAATGGATGAGGCATGTATCAAGTCAAAGAAATGGTCACATATTTCACACAAGGCATAACATGAGCTGCTCTAGAGTAGTGGTAGGTTTCAACATGATTCTGCCTAGTTGCCTGTTGTTTAGGAGCAAAAGAATTCAGCCGCAAGTTTTTCTAGATACCTTCATCCTCTGAGTGGCCCGCTAGATGGACAGCTTTCCATCTTGAGTTAGTTTAGCTAGAGACTCAAAGAAACATCACTCCAAATGAGACAGTCACATCAGATGAGCCCCTGGGATGAAACCATTCTGATTGAAGGCAAATGAAAGAACAACTAGATAATGACTCAGAATGCACAAAATTCCCTTGAACTGTGGTCTGATTCTTTTGGCAAAAAAAGCTCAGCTTTTCAATGCCGTCATTTCCTGCTTCTGTGGCTTCCTTTCTCTACCCTTCTGTATTCTACATCATCAGAATAACTAGACGTTGAGAGGTAAGGGAAATTAGCACTACCAGAATACAAGGAAATCTGTCTCCCTTATAAGGGTGTCAACTGCACTTCATAGTGGCGTGTCTGGTCTTTGTTTCTGATTCTAAATTGCAACACTAACATTAGAGGGTGAGGGGAGCTGAGCAGGAAGAGGACTTCAGGTATAAATCAAGGAATTCAGTGAGAACCTAAATGCAAAACAACAACACACATTCTGCTAGTTCAAAAACCTGTCCAACTGCATAAAGAAGTTAGCAACATAATTATACTTTCAAGTATGTTATGGTAGATTGCAAGAGAGGAAACACATTTTTCTCATCGCTATGAGCATATCACTTCGTAATGTGATGCTGCTGCTTCTCTCTTTAAGAGGTGAAGTTGATTTCTTTAGTCCTTGAATTTGAGATTGTTCATGCAACTTGCTTTCAGCAAATGTGGTGGAAGCAGAGGTGTACTGTGGCTTTTTCTCTCTCTAGCTGACACAGAACAGAGACAAATGATCCCATCTGAGACTTCCTAGACCAGAGATTAGCAAACTTTTTCTGTAAAGGGTGAGATGATAAATATTTCAGTCTTTGCAGGACATATGATCTTAGTCATAACTACTCGACTCTGTTCAACAAATGGTGTGATTGTGTTCCAACATTAAAAAATAAATAAATAAAAGTATGTATGGTCCATGAGCTGTAGCCTACCAATTCCTGCTCCACACCAGTCCACCTGTCAAATACCAGCCAAACCTCCAGCTGAATGCAGATGTCAATAGACAAAGATAAGATCTGGCACAGACTGGAAGAACCACCCAAATGACACCTGACTCATAACTTTGAGTGGCTTATTATTCAGGAAAAAACAAATGATAGATATCTTCTCTTAGAAATCATATGTTCATTTGTTTATAAACTCAAGTACCAAGTAAAAGGAATGCTTTTTGATGCATTCTTTTTGCATCAAATTGCTGCATGAAACTACAGAGTACAAGTCAAAGACAAAAAGAGAAAGACAGAAGTCTCTCTAGAATGGCTGCAGCCCAATTTCTGTTTTTCTAAGAACTTAACAGTCACCAAGCCACAAATTCAAACGGAGGGAAGATTTGAAATATGGGTATAGATAAAACATTCTCATGAACCCCATGGTGGCAGCATCTTGGGTTTTGATAAGCTTAAAATAATTATCAATAAAAGGCCCATTGTTTATGATATCTACACAAATTGTAGGGTCCCCAGTGATACTAGGTAAAAACTAATATTGTGTGAGAAAATGGGCAGAGACAGCTTTGGAATCCACAGCCATTTGCTTGCATAATAAAATAAAAGCAGGAATTCGATTCATTTGTCTCAACTTATTTAGCCACACTTCTGATGGTAATATTGCTATTTGGTACGTCATTTCTCTTCCTTGAAATTCTTAACTGTCACTTCAAAACCTGACTGTTTATTATTACATGTCATTCTTCAAGTCCGGAAAAATCACCAAAGGAGACATATGAGACATTCTTTTAATGCCAGGATTTACTATAAATCACAATTTCTTCTTCTTTCTGGAAAAAGAAAGGGGTAGAAGACAAAGATGACAGGGGGCACCTGTGCTTAGTTACATAAGATTTGAGACTCAAGTTAATAGCATGAAATAGATTCATACAGTGAACTTCTGCAAATGTGAAATTTCTGTGCTTCAAATCGAAATTCATTACCAATGGAAAGGTTTAAAACCAGAGAAAATGACTGGGGAAAGCTGCTTGAAAATATAACAGGCTTCAAAAACAAGAGAAACACAAGATTAAACTGAAAAGAATGGCCTGGTATTTAGTTGGTTCAGTAAGATTTTATATGCATAAAATCTTCATAATTATGAATGTACAAAGGAAATTGTGATAGGAAAATGTAACGACTGAAATTATATACGTATTCAAACAAAATAATGATAGTATTTATGAAAGACATAAACTATATACGTTCAAATTTATGTTGGAACTAGGCATAGGACTTCCCCCACTGTCACCATATATATAAAAGTTTTAAACCCTGGTTCAAATTCACGTCACTGCAATTCTGACATGAAAACTGGTACCAAAAACAAACAAAAATCTTCCTTTGAAGTCATTTGCAAATGATCTAATTAAATAAATGAAGTAGAGTTGAAATGGAACAATTGTCTTACTTTTAAGTTTATTCACACAGTAATGAGAGTCAGGTTAACATGAGCCAACCCCGCGGCCTTTCAGGTGCAGACATTTATCAAATTTGACTTGAGAAATCAAGGAAGTCCAGTTTCCAGATGAATTGGTTTCCTGAAGAAACAGAAGAGTTAATTACTAGAGGCGGAGGGGGGCGGAGGGCGGGTGGAGAGCATCTCAGGCTCAGGAAACAGAATGTGCAAAACCCAGTCTTGTGATAAGGATAATTGTGCACGTGATGAATTCAAAGGAGCGTGCCGCCATTCAGTCGTTCACTAAGATCACGGAGTCATAGGCTCAAATGGGCCCTTGGGACGCCCTAGTTCAATCTATTCGTTTTACAGGTGAGGAAACAGACTCAGAGGGGTTAAGTGACTTGGCCAAGGTGACACTGCTAATGAGTGGTGGAGCTGGGATCAGAGCCCAGGGCTTCTAATTACCCTTTTAATGCTTTTTCACCACACCATGCTGATTCTTTGTATCTGCGCTAATGAGTAGATCAAGATGCTGCAAAATTAGCATAATAATTATTTGTATATAAATACTGCATTTAAAATACTGCTGTATAAGATAGCTTATCCTTCATGACCCACACCTACAAGCTGTCAAGGTATGACTCAGAAATAAATAATGAACAATTGGCTTTTCATCATTTAATGCTGCAAATCAATACCCAAGCTTGAGACTTGTATGCATTAACACAAACCCTATATTAATGCATTCTAGATTAATGACGTTTTATATATTGATTTATTTCTTTATGTAATAACCATAGTGCTGTTTTCTAAGCATTGTACTGGGACTAAAATGGTCTCATTTCAGGAAAACAAGATCCAGTTGCTTCTTTCAAGTTTATAATTCAGTAATTCTACTTATGCTTTACTCTTTTTCTCTTTGCATCTAAAAGCTGATATAAGTCTTTTGAGGTACAGCCTGGCACAAAAAGGATGAGATTTGTGGTCAGAATTTTGGAAGAATATCTCCCAAGAGAACATTCAGGGCAGGTAACTTCTGAGATGAGAATGGTTTAGGGGTGGAGGGGATGAGGGTGGGTGGATGGGAGGAGATTGCAGTTGTTACTTAATTAGACCTTGGTTAGGTCTTCCAATTGAAATTACCTGGTGTTCTCCTATGACAGATTGCACTGCTTTGGAGAGCTGGTGATGAAATCCGGCCATTGAATTACACTGCACTATAAACTTCATTTGTTCTTGGTTGCATAGTGATTTGCTATAATAATGATCATCCATTTGCCAGACAGCTGAGATTTTTTAAAAGCTTGATTGCTTTTGGCATGGCGTTATTAGTCCTGGAAGAAGGCAGCACATTTGTAGCAATTCTCAGCTTGAGCAAACTAGAATATTCACCTCCCGCCAATGCTGGCCATTTAAGATCTGCATGTTAGACTTTGGCATTTTTTCTAGCAATTCTACAACAGCATATACACTTTTATTTTTCATTGACACCATTGTGAATATGCCCATCTCTAAAATTTCAAGGGGTCTCACTTAAGCTACTGAGTTTTATGGACAGAAAGGCCAAGAAAAGTCCCCAAAGAGTGCATGCTGTCAACTGTCATGTTTTTTTTCTTTTTTTGGCTAATGAAAGCCAAACCATTCCAGACAAACCCTTTTCTAAGAAATGCACTACATATCTGGATCCAAATAAATACTCATCTGATAAGAATCTAAAAGCTCTACTGAATTACAGTGGATGAGAACCTGATGATGGTGATTCTTTGAAGATTACTGAGGAAATCAACTCTCATCTCTGATTCTGATACTTTTTTAGTCCATCCATGTTGAAAATGTCTATGGAATGATTCTGTTGTACCTTGAGAAATGAAATTCATAGGCATGGTTTCTCTCACACAGCAACTTTATATACAAAGATGAGAATAGAAGAAAGGTCATTTCCAAAGAAAGTGACATTTATTCTGTATTCACTGAAAAGCCAAAAGAATTTTCTCATTCACCCATACCGACTGAGCCCTGCATCTCTCCCAGAAGAGGTGAAAGAAGCTGCTCCTATCTGCTCCTGCATCAAACTTCAGGCTCAAGACCTGTCTAGGAAAAAAAAAAAAATGTCTTCTTTCACGAATGAACCTGCTGTCCTCATCAGAGGCATTATTTTGTTTAGAATTCAAGCTTGCTTGACAGGTATTCTATACTTTTTTCAACACAACTAAGCTAATGCCCACCTCCTTTCTGAATTGGTTTTGTCCCAGTATTACCCTTCACAGCTTTCTCTTATAGAATAAGACAATAGCTGAACAGGTTTATATACACATGTGTAAGTATGTAGATTGCATACAGGTGTGTGTCTAATATGTGTATACATGGAATGTAGGTACATATATGTATGTATGTATGTGTTTATGTATGTATACCATGAAAAGTTACAATAGTTCCAAAAGGAACATAGGCAGGCATCAATTACTGAGGTTAGTAGAGGCCATGACCAAAGTCAAATCAACGTATCCTTCCCAAACCTTATATTAACCAACAATACCATAAGATCTTTTCCCAAATTCCTTGCTAACCAGACTGCCTGAATTGAGTTTGAAATAGCAAATGTCACAGAGAAGTCAAGCAGTTTTTAAGCAGTGGCTTTACATAAATTTGAGTCACAGTTCCATCCATTCCCAGGGTCCTACTGAGGGCAAGGAGTGCAGGTGCTGTAGCAGAGAAAGGGAGAATACTGGTAGGATGGAAAGGTTTTCTGACTTGCTTGCTTGCCCTAAGTCAGAGCTTTGTGGCCTCCATCACATATAATGAATAATTAAGAGTTTATTGTCTTTTGCTCAACTGAAACTGATTTTTTTGGAAGACTGCATTGCAGAATGGTTAATCACACAGATTTTGAAGATAAATCATGGCTATGTCACCTATTAGTTGTGTAATCTTGAGAAAAGTCCTTAGCCTGTTCATGCTTCTGAATCTTCACCTGCAAAATAAATTTCATTTATTTTGGGTTATTGTGAAGATTAAATGAATTAGTACATGTGAAGCAACTATAACAAATCTTGACATGTGGTAAGCACTGTAAATTGTGAACCATTTAGGAATGCCCCATTGGAGATAATTTAGGTCACTCAGAAATTGTAAATTTTGAAAGGTGAGAGACCATGTTGTTCAAGTTAGGGCTGAACTGGAACTGTGAATCTGATGGTTGAATAATGAACAGAATAATTATTGAAGAATTAACAGCAACTCTTAGGGTATTACATTTAAGACTTGAACCTTACTCAAGGTACTTTTAACGTCTTTAATGTTTAAGGGCTATAAATGTCAGAGCTCACTAATTTCTTTGGCTTTCAATAAATGCCAGTGACTTTGAGAATTGCTGTCTCTTTAGCTTATCTGGCAAGAAGAGCACCAGCTTAAAGGGTATGCAAGAGGCACTGATGACCCACTCTCTTTCCAGTGGAAAACGCAGGTTTTTGAAGTTAATTGGCCTCCGAGGCCCAAGTCCTTCTAAGGAGCTTTTGTGTGGAGTCACTTGAACTAGGTTCTGAATGAGGTTCCTAAGGTCAGAGAAGACACAGCCCCTCTGTTAAAGAATGCCTACTCACTAAGGGAAATATGTTGACAAAGACACTTAATTACTCTAGAATCCTTGAGAATAAGATAATTTTATCTAATAAAATGTTTCAAATAACCAAAGCTTTTGCTATTTGGGTCTGCAAAAAAGCGACTTAAATATTTCAAATGGAAATCTTTTAAATAGAAGTTGAACACACTTGACCAGAGACTCTGGAGAAGAATTTTGCCTTTACTTAATAATGCAAGATCATCATTATGGACATCAATTATTGAACTGTGCTATAGTATAGGGGGCTACTGAGGTATGAAGGACTGTTTGCCCCTGTCCTAAATAACCCCAGATGAGCATCCTTTTTACAGCTCTTCTGTTTCTTTCTTTTTTAGATAGGCAGTTAGCTTTCTTTAAATAACACAGCCCTTTCTCTTCTCTTAGTGAGCTGGACTTCCAGAAGAAACATTGTCAGAACTCTGCCCAGCTGAAAACGAGCCTACTAAAAAAAATAAATAAAATTAAAAATAAATAAATTCATTAAAGGAAACTATTTTCTTGAGCATCTCCCATGTGTTAACAATCTCTGCATTCACCGTTACCACCTAGTACTCTAACAATTTTTGCAACATAAAGGAAGTGACTGGGCTTAAAGTCTTTCCTAATGTGACCTAGATCAGTGCTTCTCTAGGTTTTGTATACCTAAGAAGCACAGGAAGAGCCTGGTGAAACAATTTCCTGGGACTCATTTCCGGCGACTTTGATTCAAGAGGTTTGAGGTAGGGCCCACAGATTTGCATTTCTAACAAGCTCCCATGTGATGCTAATGGTGGTGCTCACCGAATAAAGTTCCCTGGATGATATAATTAAGTGATAGATGGAATGCCACCCAATGCCTAAAGTCAGAGTGCACTATTTTCGTAAAATCACACTGTTTTGAATATGTTGACATCAATTTTGTCTAGTCAGACATACATTTTGCTCATTTAGAAGTCGGAATTATTATGCTCTTAGTAGCTACAGTTTGTGGGTAAGTCGGTAGCTCCAGACTCAGCGATGTTGCTTACATAACTGGTTCCTAAGCTGTCTGTGCATATATAGGTATTTATTTCATTTTGGTAAATATTGTTGGTCAGGTATTGTTATAAGTGCTGTTGATGGATACATCCAGAAACAAGATGTGCAAATTCTTCTTTCTGGTGGAACTTGCGTTCTATAAGAGGGAGTCAGATATAAAAACTAAAGTAAATAACAAAACATGATAATTTCAGAAAATGATAAGGGGATGTGATGAACTTAAAAAAGACTGGCAGGATATAGAATAATGACATGAAGAAAGCACTCTGGATTGGGTGGACAGGAGACACCTCTTGGAAGGGGTGGTATTTGAGCCAGTACCCTAGTGTCATGAGGGAACCAGGTCATTGAAAACTTGGCAAGTGAATCCCTTCGGATACAATGAAAAGTTTCTGAGCTGGGGAATTAGCTTAGTTTATTTAGAGGGAGAAAAAAAGCCCATTGCATTTGTGGTCTGCCTTGGTCACCAGGGAACAGTACAGGATACCCGGACAGAGTCAGAACGATGACATAACATAGGTGAAAAACTCTTATTTCATCCCAGTGCTGCATGGTGACAAGGAAGAAAAATAAAACCATGAAGGCTGGGCGCTGTGGCTTATGCCTGTAACCCCAGCACTTTGGCAGGCCGAGGCAGGCGGATCATCTGAGGTTGGGAGTTCAAGACCAGTCTGACCAACATGGAGAAAGCCAGTCTCTACTAAAAGTAAATAATTAGCTGGGCATGGTGGTGCATGCCTTTAATCCCAGCTACTCAGGAAGGCTGAGGCAGGATAATCGCTTGAACCCGGGAGGCAGAGGTTGCAGTGAGCTGAGATCGCGCCACTGCACTCCAGACTGGGCAACAAGAACGAAACTCGGTCTCAAAAAAATAAAAAATAAAACCACGAATGTGAGAGGAGTATCCAAGAAATTGAGAGAAGGACTTTGAGAAGGGCTGAGTAATAAGTAAGGATCTAAAGAGAGACAAGGGTGTAATTTGATGGTGTGGGTGTGAAGGGGATGGCTTGAAGAGACTTTTGAGGAAAACAAGCTTCTACAGTGGCCTGAGCCATACATGGAAAGAATTAGTTATATTAGATAGTTAAGTCTGTTTGTGATCAGCACTTATTAATACTTAGCAGCCTGGCAATAGGTAAGGGCGGTAAGATGGCCTGTAATTTAGTTTGGTTGTATATGCATACATATTTAAACAGTGATTAACTATAGCCATGAATTAAAATCACCTGATGCTGAAAACGACAGCTGCCTGAACCCCATTCCAGATGAATTAAATTGGTATCTGTGAGTAGTTGGGCCTAGGGTGATACGTGTAGTTCTGACGCGCACCATACTCCCAGCTGAGAATCATTACCCTAGAGCAGGTGTTAGCAACCTTGACTGCAGA